CTATCAGACTTTACTATATAGTATATAAGGTAGACACTTGCTTGATGTCTTAATAAGAGAGAGTTTGTAGAGTACTCTTACTATACTTGTTAAAAAAAACAAAAGTAGATAGTTCTCTTATTTCTTTTGATTCTTCTCTTCACACTTTATCTGAGTCTAAATCTACACAATCTAACCTACTAACTCTACATTCTAAGAACTCAGAATGTTTAGAACACTATCTAGTCTTGTTTACTACTTAGTAGTTTGTCTATAGTATTAAGTAAGGATAGTCTTAACTGAGTTTACAGTTGAGAACATAAGTCCATCCTTGTTGAAAGAGAGAGGTTAATAAGGAAATGTTAGTGTATATACTTACTCTCTCAAACAATAAGGTTATACAAACTGTATGTTCCCTTTAGAACAGGTAGTAATTTATTAGAGAATGTTCTAAGTACTAGCTCTAGGTTCCTGTCCTCTTAGCTCCCTTCTTAGAATCCCTCCAGATCTGAACAATAGCTCTAGTAGATAGTAAATGTACTAGTTTGTATATTAATAAGGTCTTTGTGTAGGAACACTACCTCTCTACTTAATACATTCTACTTCTGATTCTAGTATATAATACAGACAGAACTCTAAACCAAAATAGTTAGATTACTGAGTTTGTTCAACTACAGATGACCATTTAGGATTATGAGGAAAGTATTAAGTTCAGAGTTACTAACCTTAGAAAGACAGACATTTTTATTAGATTTGAATAACTTAAGGCTTACAACCCTACTATTAACTAGTTAGAGTAAACACTCACATTTGATCAGTATTCTAAGTCTTATAACTATCTTACACTACTGTTCTGAGTGAATACAGACACTTCTAATACTACTAACAGTTCTGAAGAAGGTAACTAGTTGTTCTTCTTTAACTAGGATAAATATATAAACATGTATTCTAGCTAAGACAGAATAGTGTCAATCTAAAGGATTTCTAAGATGTTACTAGTCTAGAACCTACTCAGAACAACTCAGTTCTGAAACACACACAGGGCCAGCCTGCCAGACTTTGTTTAAGAGTTCTCTAAAGTCTTTAGTAAAGAGGAGTTTAACTAGCTCTCTAAACATTACATTTAGAACTATACAATTGAGTTGACTAAGAGTTTTTAACCTAAGAATTACAAGGTCTATCTGCTCAACAGGGACAAGTAGGAAGTGCTCAACAAGTTCCTTTAGGAAAATCTTTAGAATAGCTGAATCTGACTCTTAAAATCCTTCATAACCTCTCCTTTCTTCTTTGTCAAAAAGAAAGATAGAAAGCTTTACTCAGTCTAGGATTATTATTACCTTAATAAGGGTACTATTAAAAACAAGTACCTGCTCCCCCTAATCTAGGAGCTTATTAATAAGACACATACATTCTAGGTTTTTACTAAGCTGAACATTTGATAAAGATACAATAACATTCAGATCTGAGAAGGAGATGAGTAGAAGACTATATTCTAAACTAATTGTAGACTATACAAACTAACTATAATGTTCTTTAGACTAACTAACTTGCTCACAACATTCTAGTCATTTATAAATTACATTCTAACAGATTTGATTAACTCAGAGTATGTTAGTGTGTATCTAAACAATATTCTAATCTTTACTTAAACTGTCAAGTACTACTACTAACTAATCTAAGCAGTTCTACAGTAACTCTAAGATAATAAACTGTTCCTCTAAGAAGTAAAGTGTTCTTTTACATAGGAATCAGTAGATTATCTAAGCTTTGTAATTAGAGAGAGAGAGGTCTGTATAGATCCAGTAAAGGTAATTACAGTTTATAACTAGCTACAATCTTAGAACCTAAAACAGGTCCAGACATTTCTTAGATTTGTAAACTACTACTAGTACTTCATCTAAGACTTTAGTACTATTGTCTGGCCCCTTTACAATCTTACTAGCAAAGGTGTTTTGTAGTAATGAGACATTCAGAAACAGTCTACTTTCAAGTCTCTCAAGTAAGTTATTACTAACAAGCTTGTGTTAGTAGTTCTGACAGTTCTGGATAAGTTCTGAGTCAAAGCCAACTCTTCCAACTTTGTAAATAGAGTAGTACTGTCCTAGTTCATTAACAGAAAGTAGTGTCTAATAGTGTTCTGATTAGAATCCCTCTCTACAACTGAACAGAACTACTTTATTTATAATAAGGAACTTCTTACAATTGTCTGTTCTCTAGAGAAGTAGTATTAATACCTCCTTAGTACTACTCAGAAGTTTAAGATTTAGAGTAATCACTTTAATCTCTAATACTTCTGAACACCTTAGAAGCTCAACTACTATTAGGCCTGCTAAATGCTAGAACTGTAAAACTATGACTTTATACTAACTTACAAACCTAGAAAGTAAATAACAAAAGCTGATCTACTCTTGAGACAAGTAGGTTATAAAAGGGGGGGAGAATAATAACAAAAATCTTGTTCTTCTTAACAACTCCCTTTTTGTATCTGAGACAATCTAAGAGATCTGACTCAAGTCTGAGAATGTTAACTTTATTACTTATATATAGTAAGCTCTGAGACATACACAGGACTAGGTTGTAGTTAAGTAGTTAAAGAAGTAAGCTAGAGACTAGGAGGAGGACAAGGATAGACAGGTTTACTAGGAAGACTAACTGTACATTCTAAAGGATTAGAAGCTGTAGAAGGATATTGTCTGAGCTTATTATAACAATCTAACAGTAGAACATTCAGGTAGATACAAAATGTAGGAACTTATTACTTAAAACTACTAGTAGCTAGGAATACAGAGAGAGATTCTAAAGTATATAAGTAGTTACAATATGTACTAACAGACTAAGGCCTACTAGACAAGGGTTCAGACTCTCTTACATTTATATTAGATTCTAGATTACTCTTAGGAAGAAGTCTTAGTAGACCTGATTAGTAAGCTACCTAAGTCTTAGGGTTACAATACTATCTATATGATTGTTAATTAGTTCTCTAAGCAGGTTTATACAGTCCTAACCTAAACAGAACTCACTTTTAAAAGTATAGTATATATTTATTAGAACTATGTCTTCTAGTTACACAGACTCCCTCAGAAGCTTATTTATAATTACAGACTACAATTTGAGTCAAAATTCATACAGGACTTGTATACACTTCTCAGAATCTAAAGGAATCTATCTACTATATATTACCTACAGACTGATAGTTAAACTAAGTAAGTCAATTAGGAGATTGAACTCTACCTCTAAATGTTCATTAATTATTAACAGTTAGACTAGTCTGAATAGTTAGTACTAGTAGAATTTATACACAATAACTAGTAACACTCTACTATAGAACAATCTCTGTTCTTCCTTAACCATAAGAGGTATTTATATTAAGGGACTGTTTCATGTTAGAACAGGAGTTCTGAATCTGTAACAGCCTTTACTAAACAGATACACAAGACTAGGGAGGATGTACAAGCTCTTTTAGAGAAGATAGTACAAGTTATAAAACAGAACTATAATTAGAAGAGATCTACAACTAAGAATTACTAGCCTAGTAACAAAGTAATACTAGAAGCTACTAATTTGACTATAGATTACTTAATGAAGAAGTTGGACAACAAGTGCTTCAGACCCTTTGTTATTAAGAAGAAGGTTAGTACCTCTGCTTACAAACTCTAACTCCTAATAACCTGAAAGTGTATACACCTAGTATTCAACAAGGTTCTATTGTCTTAGTATTACAACCTAGGTTTTCCTTTGTAACAAAGACCTCTACCACCTCTACCAGAACTTATTGATTCTAAACCAGAATACAAAGTAGAGTATATAGTAGACACTAAGTTAGTGTACAGAAAGCTTAAGTTTCTTGTCTACTAGAAAGAGTATCCAGTCAAAGAACACACTTAGGAACCTACTAAGAATCTCACTCATACTACTAATACAATCTAAGACTTCTACTAACTCTATCCAAGTGCTCTGTGCCAGCTTTACCTTATAGATTTCCAGACCCTATTGTTCTAACCTATATTTAAGCTACTAACTGAGCCTAATGTTTACTAATTGAGATGATTGGTTTTAGAGGGGGGTAAATGTTACAATCTACTACTCTCAAGCCCTCAGTTCTGTCAGTTCTGTACCCTTCTGTCCTAGAATTCAAGACTTCTGTCCTTTGAGTGTACAGTATATAGACTATACACAGACTGATTCCTACTGTGACTCCTACCACTATCCCTTTCTACCTTGACACTCCTTTCCTTTGTCCACCCCTTCATTCTTTGTTCATTCTAAGGTCTCTTACCCTTTACTCTTCCATCCCTTCATTCTTTGTTCACATATCTTTAACCTTTTCATTCTTCATTCTTTGTAGCTTATCCTTCCCTGAGTACTCTTGTATAGTTTAGTATATATATATGTACAAGATCAGACTGGTCCTATAGTCTTGATCTTGTCTACTCTAGGTAGTCCTGTACTCTCAGGCTCAATCTATATACTCTATACTTGTCTCACTCTCTCTACCTGTCTGTTCCACAAGTTCTGACTATGTTCTAGTACTTGCATCCTGTTACTTCTGTTGTGTAGGATAGTTGTAGCCTGGGTCCCCTTGCTGAGCCTTTGGGTCCCCTCTATACTGTTGCTGACAGAAATTGTAAAATGCCCAATGTGCTGTATAGACTGAGGCAACAGTAACATACTATGGCAGAGAAGTTGTGTTGCCTGTAACAATTGAGTAACACAACAAGTGTTACATATAGTCAAAAATGTAATGTAAATTGTTGTAGCTACAAGACAGTAGTAACAGTATTCATAATAGTGTGGACCCCAGTATTGTGAGTCCTATTGTTGCATGATCTACCCTCTGTTACTTGATTTTGGGGTCATGTGGCTGTATAACACTTGATTTTGTGTTGCCTCAGTTTATACAGCTACAGTAGTCGAAGGGCCTGTATTCTCACTTACGCACGAAACGATCGGCGATTTTGCTTTGGTGGTTATGAAAATATAGTAATTACGAGGATAGACTTATACATGTACAAATTGCTTCTTTAATCGAAATTATCGAAGGTGACGTAGTAAGTACTTTGAATCTCAGCACGATGCGAGAGAGTGAAAAAGCGACCGGTAGTCCCGGTGTCGTTCCGATGAAGAAAGTCGATCCTCTGGAGTCCCCTACCGCTCCTGTCAGGTGTGTTCCCCGTCCTCTGCTTGTAATGGGCACCGGCTTTACGTAGCATCGTTTGATATTCGAAAACTAGACTGTTCATCGTCTTGGGGATCATTCTCTGGTCAAGTTCGAATATCTCCAACGGTTCGTGCAGTTCTTTATGGAGTTTATATACGAATTCGTTTATAGAAAGGGGTGGGTATCGTCCAGTGGCCCAGTTTCTTCCCGACGTAATGAAAAGCGTCCAAGGACCCATGTGCACTTTGAAAACCCCACATCCCGATTTGCACGCTGGTTGCGTCCAAATATCGCTGCCATCCAAGTGATGCACCAATACGCATATCATGTTGTTGCAATTGCATGGATTCTGTAAGCTGCGAACTTGGGGTCCACGGTACGTTAGCGAAAAGATTTCATGAAGGAGGGGTATGGATAGAGGTCCTTCGGTTGCTCGGTCAGCCCGTCCATTTGCCCGTGACATCCATGCTACGAAGTCAATAATAACTTCTGGTTGTCCCTCCTCGATCAAAGTTAAAATGTTCATCGTAAGCTGGATAGATTTTTTTGTATAAACCTTGGCAAAAACCGGACAGGTATGGAAGTTGTCACAGAGAATGAAGACGTTGAATAAGGCGCAGGCAAGATCGTGTCTCGTGGCTTCGGTCGATAGTTTACGAACACAGGAGAAGAACGTCAAGGGCGATTGCTCGTCAAAGGCCGAAATCTGTCCCTCTTATATACCCATGTTTCGGCGTGGCTTTTCAGTACGTGGCCAAGTGCAGCCACCAGAGCCAAGCATAGTTAAAGCGTATTACTCCCGATATTGTTGTCAGACCACCCAGCTTGGAGGGCCCAAGCTATTAAGATCATGACCATAAGCAACAGCGTACGGAGTGATACTTTGCTTAATCAAAGATAAGTATGTAGCCCTAGTGTCCTCATACGCGTCAGGTCGTTAGTTATGCTGTGAGACCGCATAACTTAGCTGGTCGCTCAGTTCAAGCCACAAATCCGAGATACTAAGTGTGCGTAGAGAGGAAAGAAAAATTGGGTACTAAACAGTGTTGTTGTGGTTAAACCACAACAACACTGTTTAGTACCCAATGGTTTATTTTGACGTAGCCATCCATATTGATTATATAAGAGGACCGCCTAGACTTGTATGGAGTAAACGCAACATATATGCAATACATAGTAAATAACTTGTTTCTGCAATATACATCTCTTCTAACGTACCATCACTCATCCAGCACCTCATCTCCCTCCTCCCCAAACTCCAACTTCCTCTTCCTCCCCGGCATCTCAGATCCGTCACCAAACCCAACACCAGCCTTCCTCCTCAACCCCTCCACATCCCGACCTCCATCCTCCGCCCACTCCAATACTAAATGCCTCCCAAGTAAATGCGTGTGCATCATCGCACCAAAAACCCTCTCCGCCTCCAACCTCGTCGTAAACTCCAAGAAAGCATACCCTCTCGAGTGGGAATTAAATTTTTTAGGTAAGCGTACGGATTTGAGTGTTCCGTGTGTGTTGAAGAGGGATCGGAGGTCAGATTTGGTTGCTTCGAAGGGGAGGTTTTTCACAATCATCTTGGTCGTCTTGGATGTGGCTTTCGCTGAGGAAGAGGAGTTATTTTTGTCGTGGTCCTGGTCTTCGGTACCCCGTCCAGCGAACTTAACACTCAACGCATGTCCATCCACCACAAGACCCTGTATACTCCTCAAAGCCGTTTTAGCTGCATCCTTGGATGTAAATCCAACAAAACCGAAACCCATGCTTAGCCGTGGAGGTGGTTGGCCAGGTATACTGGGACGCTTCGGGTCAGGTTTAGTTTGTACGCGAGCGAAGGAGAAGCCGGGGAGGTGTCGTAGAACGGATGTGAGACGTTCAGAAGTCGTTGCGAAGGCGAGGTTTTTGAGGAATAGGGTTGAACCTGGGGGTGCTTCCTCTTCTTTAGCATCGTCGATAGGGCCCGCTATGTCGACGTCTTGCTTGGCTGGGGTCGGTCGAATTGCTTGAGTAGTCGTGTTGTCAGAAGACCGCGACCCATTAAAAACCCCAACAGGCGCCTTCTCAAGATACACAACACTTCCTCCCAGCCTTCTATACGCAACACCCCTGAAACCCCTCCCAGCATCATCCGGATGGGCAAACTCCACCACGGCAATCGTCCCACTCGGCGGAACAACAACCCTCCTCAACTCCCCATGCGGTTCGAATAACTCGCGTATTTGTTGAGAAGTCGTTCCGTAGGGGATGTTCTTTACTAGTATGACTGTATCCGACCGTTTCGCTCTTACGGCTCGGGAGTTAGAGGAGTTTGCGGAAGAGGAATAGGAGAGAGAAGAGAACGCAGAAAGGTCGATCCCTTCCGACTCGAGGAAAGCTTTCGTTTCTTGTATAATATGCGTTTCTGCAAGTGCGAGTTTGACAGCTGCGGACGTCGTGTCTCCATTCTCGGAGTCAGGATTGAGAATGTCGGCCTTGGGGATGTTCATCCGATCGGCAATGGACGACGCGACAGCATCAGCGTTCATATACAACATACTCCAATTAAATTCCTTGCTTGCGCCTTCTTTCTTCTTCTTTTCTTTTTCTTTCTTAACCGACGTTTTCCCGCTCCCACCAAGATTGTCTTCGACGCCTTTTACACCTGATGATTTTCGCTCTGCAGCAGGTAGAATATGCAAAAGCCTCCCCTGAAAGGACGTCTTATCAAGTTCTTCAAACGCCTTAACCGCACATGCTGGATCTGAGAAAGTGACGAACGCGAGACCTTTTGAAGATTTGGAGATTGGGTCGAGTGGAATGTGAACCTGAAAGACGAAAAAAAAGTTCATGTCAGTGATTTAGCGATGACTTGTGTAAAGGCGTTAAGTAGAAAAACTGGTGGAAGGGAAGGGCCAGATATCAGCTATACTATCTAAATTTCCCAAGTGATCAACAGTTCTTCCAGGAGGCTTTAAGGACCTCTGGATTCTGATGTCCCTATGAGTTTTATCATCACAAAGGCCCTCCCCTTACTCCTCCAAGAAAGAAAAAAACCATCATGCGAGAGAGAATCATACGAACCTGGGCGATATCACCGAACCTTGAGAAATGTGCCTCTAACTCGGATTGCGTACAAGTGTAAGATAAGTTTCGTAGGAATAGACGTCCGGTCTGAAGAATCGTGTCGGTTGGAGAGGGTTCTGAGTCGGCTTTCTCGGGTGCTTTCTCGGACTAGATCATATTCGTAAGTGATCGAGAAAAGTAATGAGAAGATTGAAGAACTGACATTTAATTTCGATGATCGTGCATCCTGCGATAACGGCACTTCCTCTTCCTCATCCTGCATGAACACCCTCTCCTCCCCACCTTCCTCAAGGTCCTTCTTCATCTTTCGTCTCATCCACTCCATATCGTCCACTTCCTCTACGCCGTCTTCCTCTTCCCTTTCATTAGAGTCATCAGTCTCAGAAATGCCGTTCGCATTCGCCTGCGATTGCTCAAGTGGACGAGAAGAAGGTCCAGCAACAGGAACGTCGTCATTATTAGCCCATGTCCGCTCTTTCTTCGTTCGAGGCTGCATAACTTGCATGAATTCGTCTAGTTCGGCTCCTTTCTTGATTTTCTTGCCTATTGACTCCGCATTATCGTCAGTACTGGTAGTAGCGTCCATCTTCTTCCGTTTCGATTTTGATTTTTGGAGAGGTTTAGTTCCGGGAAGCTTGTCGACAGCTGAGTTGCTGTTATCGATGCGAGGTTTCTTGTTAGGTCTTGGGATCGGTGCGTCTTTGGCTCCTTTCTATCCGGGCCCGAAAATAGTTAACAAACTGGCACAACCGTGAAGAAAACACTCACCTCAACAACCTCAACCCCAATCCTCGTCATCCCAACAAACGTCCTATCAAACCACCCCCTAGCCTTCCTCGCCTCCTCCTCCGTCTTATACCCAACAAACCCGAATCTCCTACTCCTACCATCTGGTGTCTGTGCGACTTGGACGTCAGTGAGCGTCCCTCCCGGACCGTCCTTTTGTGAGAAGTGTTGTTTGAGGAGAGGGGGAGTTATGTAGGGCGGGAGGTTTTTTATGATTAGGCGGGACATGCTTGACTTGACTATGGTGTACTGAGAGTTGGTGAGGGAGGGTGATGAGAATGACAGGTGGAGGACATGAAGACGTGATGAGATTACTTACCGTGAAGTAAACCCAGCAGCGGAAAGAAAATTGTACTCTTTAACAAATTTTTATTCGGGGGATGCCGACTAAATATTTCCTAATTGAGACACGCGTAAGGAAACACTACAGCCAAAATGAAATGCACCGAGACTAAAGCTACATTCACGTAACAGCACAACCAACTTACTCTCAACACCCACCTCCCCATCGTTCCCCATCACAACGTTCAAAACGGCGGGAAGATGTCAAAGTCCACAGAATCTACTCAGAGAGAAAAGAACCCACGAGGCATCCCCCATGCACCGTTCATCGTACGTCGTTTCGACCTTACATTCTCAAGGTCTTTTGGCTTAACTCTGACCTATTTAGACAGACGTAGAGGAACACGTTGGAGGTCCGGAGGGTGAAGTGGAGCCTGTGCTTGTTCGGTTTCAGGAGGCGTTGTCGTACGTACCTCTCCTTCTCCCTATCCCTATCGCGTGCTAATGTTTATGACCTTGTTTCGCGATGGAAGAAAGTACCGATACATGGAAGCCAACTTAACACAACGAAAAGCGGCTATTGAGGTGAAGATACCGGATATTAGGAAGACGTTGACTATGGTTGAGTTCTTAGCGGAGCAAAGAGTGCGTCTCCTACCTTATCCTACCTTAAATTTATATACTTATAAATCGTATGCTGAACGAATGTTGAACGATGTGGTGATGTGGTGCATATAGGAAGGAAAGAAAGTTAAATCCGATGACGATGATGATCTAGACGAAGATCTTGAGGATGACGAGTCTGGTTCGAAAAAGCCGATACGAACGACCTTCGAGCTGAACGATACGCTATATGCGGAGGCGGAGTTGGAGGATACTGATACTGTCTTCTTATGGCTCGGAGTACGCTTCCACTACCACATCTCCTATCACTCCAACCCAACTAATCTACAACTTACCCCGTCCTTTTCTTTAAATTTTGTTTCTAGGCAGACGTAATGCTATCCTACAAAATCCCCGAAGCCATCTCGCTACTCCAATCCAAACTAAGCGTCGCAGAAGAAAACCTCACGAACTATAATTCCGATTTGGAGTACTTGAAGGAGCAGGTGACGATTATGGAGGTGAATATGGCGAGGGTGTTTAATTGGGATGTGAAGCGGAGACGGTTGAGGAGAGAGCAGGAGGCTGGGGGTAGTCAGAAGAGCTGAAGTACGTACTTTGCTAGTACACAAAGATACATAGTACTAGTGTTAATATTTGACAATGGTATTGATATTGAATCGATAAGTATTAACATCTGAGTCCAGGACAAATCTAATGGTGAGAAACCACAACCTATTCTAACCCTAGCACACAATCAACCGGACCGACGCGGAACCGAGATAAAGTAGGCTTCCAATCCAAGCTTCCAAGCTTCTGCACACACAAAAACTGTCCATCATCATCAAGAAGGCATAAGTAAGTGACTAAGTTCAGCGAGGCCGCTCCAAATCCCAGCGCACTCCCCCGCGATCCTGTCTCGTCTCGATAACTCGTGTCGTGCTGTCCTTCACGATTTATCGATTCACCATGTTCGCGCGGGCTATGGCTATGGTCTGTAACAAGACGGCTCCTGCCTCTCTTACCTCTCCTACCTCTCCTACCTCTCCTACCTCACATCATACTAATGGTGATGACAAGAATGGACTGGAGGCGGATGATGCGAACAACTTGACTGATCCGAAATCGAAAGCCTACGCTCCTGCTCCTGGCGCTGTCGCTGGTGGCAAGAGCATCAATGAACTAGGTTTATCGACGCCAGAATTGTTGAACAACGAAAGTGAGAAAGTAGAGGTGGACTTGTATCGCCAAGAAGATATCGATCCCGTCTACCATGCAAAAGCGCATCTCTTGAACGAGGCTTTTGCTGAGATTGGTATGGGGAGGTATCAGGTATGTCATACTCATACTCATAGCGATGTCGATTATTTTCGTATTCATATATTTGGATTGGATTGAACTGAAATTGGAAACGAATTGGATGATAATGATTTTATTTTTTGTAGTGGAAACTCTTCGTAGCCGCCGGCTTCGGGTGGTTCGCGTAAGTCTCCTCCCCCCTCCCTACCAAAAAAAAATCCTCTCTTATAAAGTTTTCTTTCTTCCTTTCTTCCTTATTTATAGTGATAGCGTCTGGCCGGTTCGTATTCCATCCATCTTTTCCCGCGCATTTCTAGTGCTAACATTATTTTTATTTGAAATTATTGTTTCGTTTAGCAACTCGCTGGACTAATCCTCTCCCCAGTCGTAAACGAATTCGGCGTCCGCCCTCCCTTCCTCTCCCTCGCTCTCAACACAGGTCTACTCGTCGGAGCTGCGTTTTGGGGGTTAGGGTGTGATATCATCGGAAGAAGGTACGTACGCATATACTCAGCTCAATGGACTCATTTTCATTGAAATTGGGATTTTGTTCATTCACTTGGTGAAGGTGGTCATTCAATATTACACTCTTCATCTCCGGCGTATTTGGCATCGCAGCAGGTGGATCACAGAACTTCGTCACTCTAGCGAGTCTTTTTGCTGTTGTTGGTGTTGGGGTGGGAGGGAATATGCCTGTTGATTCTGCTGTTTTCCTCGGTTCGTCCATTCAATTATTTCATTGCCTGCTAAGTAGATTTTTTATGTACTGATATTTGATGTCGATATGTCGATCGTAGAGTTTATCCCGGCAAGCCACCAATACCTCCTAACAATCCTCTCCATCTGGTGGTGCATCGGCTACTTAGTAGCAGCACTCGTCGCTTGGCCTCTCATCGCCAACTTTTCTTGCACACCAGGATCTGTATGCGTGGATTCAGATAATCGAGGCTGGCGTTACCTCCTCTTCACCCTCGGCGCACTAATGCTCCTCTTCTGGGCTCTCCGCGCACTCGTCTTCACCCTACACGAAAGTCCGAGATATTTGGTTGCGAGAGGGGAAGACGAGAAGGCCGTTAAGGTTTTACAAGCTGTTGCAAGGGCGAATGGCGTGCAGTGTAGTTTGACGGTGGAGAAGTTGAGAAGGGCTGGTGCTGTCACTGGTTCGTCTCAACTGAATTTTACCGACTTTAATGAGAAGAATGAGAAGAGGGGTGTAAGTGGAGCAGCGAAGAGGAGTACGAAAGAGACGTGGGTACATTTGAAGGGCTTGTTTGCTACGAGGAAGGTCGCGTGGTCTACAAGTCTATTAGTCTTTCTCTGGGGTGAGCATGTCGTCATTCACTTTTCGTGCATATTTTTTCTTATGTTATTTCCTGATTTGGATCTGAACAGCGATAATCGGCCTTGCTTCGACCTTGTGAGTAACCTTCCGCCTAAATTGACTTTTCCACGTACTAAAATCCAAGTTATGCGTTTAGGTATAACAGCTTCCTACCGTTCCTATTGACATCAAAGGGACATGCATACGGCGACGCCTCACTCACCACAACATACAGAAACGTACGTCCAGAGTCCATAACCCTCACCATGACTCCTCTAGATAGCCAGTCTAATCTAATCAAACTTATTCGCAGACTGTCATACTCGCACTCACCGGCATACCAGGAGCTTTCCTAGCCGGATGGGCAGTCGACTTGCCGTTACTCGGTAGAAGAGGCACACTTATGCTTTCTTGTGGTACGTGACGTGCAATTTCGCTTGCCTACTTCTCAGTACACACACACATGATAATGCTAATAATATCTGACATTCTGTATTTCATTTCGCACTATTTTGGACGGAAAATGAATAGTCGGGACGGCTGTCTTCCTCCTAGCAACCACGACAGCACGTACGTCCAACGCGCTTCTTGGGTGGAACTGTGCGTATTCGTTCTTTAGCAACGTGAGTCCTTCATCCTGTTCTTGTCTTCCCTTTCCTTCTTGTATTCTATTGTATGGTTTCGTTTCTTGGAAAGCTGATGTGTTAATGTACTGATTGATGTATTGTATTGTACTGTGTGGATATAGATCATGTATGGTGTACTATACGCCATCTCGCCCGAGATTTTCCCAGCAAAGGATAGAGGAACAGGAAACGGCCTCGTCGCTATTGCTACGCGTGTCTTCAGTGTCATTGTGCGTCTACTCTTCCTCCTTCCTTTTCCTCTCGATAAATCTAACATTCGAAAATTTATTCTAATTGCTTGATCGTTTGTTTGCTTTCTTAACGTAACAATTGTGAATCGTGATTCACGAACTGTGAACACTTCAACCGTGAATTGGGAATGAAGGCTCCGATCATCGCTCTCTACGCGAAAGTGACGACCGCTGCACCAGTGTACATTTCGGGTGTGTTGATCATTGTTGCGGGGCTCGTGGCGTTGCTGTTGCCGTTTGAGCCGCGTGGGAAGGCGTCTGTTTGAGTTTTCTGGATGCTGTTGCGTGACGGCGAGTTGGAGTAGAGGCAGGAGGTGTAAGGAGCTGGTTGGGAGTCTGATGATGAGGTTTGGTGAAGGTGATGAAAAGGATGAAGGTAGGTGATTTTGTTATACCCTATGAAATCGTTTGGTATTTGGAGTAGTGTTTGGTGTTATTGTGAGATCGGTGTAGACTGGTATGTTCGTGGATTATTGAATAATGAAAGAATTGATGTGCCCCTCTCTCCTTTATCTACCACTCTCAAGTTCTCTATTGCTTGGCTTTCAAGATTGTCGGAGGGTGGTATTTCATAGAATTGGTAAGTAGAATTAAGTCCTATAATAGGTCTCAGAATAACTGAATAAATTATAACGGTTCCGAGGTAGGAAATATTTTTAGACAGCAAAGAAATTATCTCTCCCAGATTCACAAGAACCCAGAGTGTACAATAGACGTTACTGTAAAACCGAGCGACGCTGAACGCACTAGTACTGATAGTATATAGTGTATACACACAATCTGCCAGGGCATCAATAATAGACTACACAGAAGAACGCTAAAGTGGTTACAGCCGGACTCCCGACTTCCCGAATGTCGCTTCGTTCGGCACGTCATCCACCTTCCACCACTTTGTACACGAAATGAAGTGCCGGTCTCAGTAAGTATTAATCCATTCTCCCTCACTATTGTTTCTCTCTCTCTCATTACAGCGAGTTCTTCAGCTGCACGAGGAGTTTGAAAACTTCTTTCGTGACACGACCTGTATAATTTGGGATTCTGAGCATCTCGTCAAGTATGGGTAGCGTTTCCCGATTCGCATTCGCATACCCATTGTACAGAGCGGCTGTGGATGCATGTGTACGTTACACATGGGCTCAAGGATTCTGTCATCTGTCCAAGTGTCTTGTATAAAATAACTCGTTGACGTACGCTAGGCTCCGTTTGCCTCTTTACCCCTTTTCCCTACCCTCGCGCTTTTGTCCTATGGACAAACTGCCCTTGGCGTCTTGTAGGCACTAACAGGACAAATTTTCATTGGTTTTAAATTTCGGTCTGCTTGCGGAGTGGACGTTATGGACGTTACGGGTGACATGAATTTGACAATGATACGAACGATGACGAGTAGCGCGCGGAGTTTACTGGATAACCCTACCCTCTCTTTTCCTGGCTCGCCTGAAACGTTGCAGCAGATTGCGCAGGATCAGCAATCTGTTAAAGTGCGTTTTTCGATTAATTTTACCTTGTTCCTGTGTATATTCAATCACTTATTTATATTTCTTTTTTGCAGTATGTCGTAAGTGTGTATCTAAGTTTTTCTTCGGGTATGAACGAATAGTGATACTGACAATGGCTGGGTGTAGTTGCTTCGTTTGTCGTTATGCTCTACGATAACCTTTTGACACTTTCCAAGTACGTCTTCTCTGCTTGAATTTTTCGACGAAGGCGTCTGGACTAAATATACCCGGTTGTGCTATGTATCTTAGAGAAGTATGCTCAATCTTTCTTCTGGAGTGTAATGGTGGTGACACTGGTGACGTTGATGCATAATACTTTGTAGTTCTCGTTATTCTGGGGTCCAAGACGTTCGCGAGGTTCAGCACTTTTCTTCATTACTAGATGGCCTGTATTGCTTGAGAGTTTGCTTTACTTGATTTGTACGTCGATTCTGTCATTTCTATTCAGTCCTGGTTCTGATGGTAGTCTTGTGGAATATCTCGTGCAGATTCCTTGGATTTCAAGAGTTCCGAACCTGTGAGTAAGGTTTAATTCCGTGCAACATGTTGATATGGAATCGCTAAATTTCGGTGGTAGTTGTCAGTCTTCCTTCTCACATCTGAATAATTGGATGAGTCCGTTTACAGCATTTATTTGTTTCAGTTGTAAGATGGAGGCGTACCTCACTGCGTGGTATGTTGTCCTCGCGATGACTGCAATGATGAAATCAAAAAGAAATGCTGACTATATGCGCGTGATTAATTTTCGCACAGGGGGGCCTTGGTATTCCTGATTCCTCTACAAGGCATGCAACTTTTGCCAATATCACCTACTGCTGTATTTTGACATATTCGACAGTTGTCATCATACTTCGGACGATTGCTCTCTGGGAACGAACGCGGTCAATTATTTTTGTGCTTTTCACGACCGCCATGGTGAGTAAATATGCGATTGAACTCTTGATTAGAACTCTAATCCCTTTTGGACGTTCAGGCTACAGACGTAGCTTTGCTCGTTCTCTTGACCCACCTTAGTATTTCATTAGATTGTGTGACCTTTCCGCATGCAATGTCCAATTTGTTTATATTAACTACGTGCTTGTCAGATATGGTCGACCCGCTCTTCGCTCCTTTCCTTGGGTGTGAAAGCGGCCTTATCAGCTTTAATCCGAAGGCAACCATACCGTGTTATATCGCCCTCATCGCATTTGATACAATGATATTCAGCTTGACGCTGTACCGAGCGTTAAGAACTAGTACGTTGTTTTCTCGTCTCGAGTAGCAGTGATTGATGTTGTAACACGATAGTACGGAGAACCCATCTCGTTACCATACTTGTTCGAGACGGCTTCTTTTACTACAGCGTCATGCTCGGTGAGATCGAGAAATCTTCTCTATCGTGTTACGAGTTCACTGCCTCATTCTTTTGCCATTGTTGCACAGCGATCTCAGTTTCCGCAGTCACCGTCAGCTCGGTTCTTCCATTTGAACGCAGTTCTCTCATCGCCATGTTCTCGCCGATCATCAAGGCAAGCTTCTGTATCGTCGGGAGCAGGATTTCGCTCAACCTCCGAGAGGCGATGAGATCCACTGAGGAGAGACTCGGACGTGCAAGAGGATGCGATTTTGATAGTGATCACTGACGGTTTCCATTCCATTAATAACTTGAGATGTATCGTTGGTTCGATATCGAGATGAGTGATGAATGCTCCGCTTCCACAATCATTGTAGTGTATTCGAGATCGTCCTTTCCCTCCGGTAGTTGTCTATCCATAGTAGGATCATGGAGAGCTTATTGGGAATGATGGGTGTAGAAACGAGATGATTAATGGTAAATGGAAAAGTGTGCATGTTTCATACTCCAAACTAGTACAAAGCCAAGAAACACATGCTATCTTCCTATCTTTCATTTATAAGAATTGTCTCTGAAATCTCTGACTTTGTAGACTTCACCAATGAACATCAGTTAGAGACGTATTCCTTAATCTGCATCAATATCCTTGCAACAAATCATCTATCACATCTAGACATCAACATTCGATCTATCCTGTTAATCAGCTACAAAGACAACTCAGTTAGTCTGTACTACTCCCGGCTGCAGCAAGGTTTCTAATAAAAGTATGGATGATTTGATTCTCCTGAAGTACTATGCTGTGTTGCTCGAGTAGTATAATACAAGCCAGCAGTGAACGTGTTCGTTTGGTCGCCTCCTTAGACAAAGACCATGACGAGCCAAGTGCCTACTTTTCTTGAAATTATCCAGCAGGTTGCTCAGGATCAACAGTCTGCTAGGGTACGTTGTTTCCTTAGTAAACGAGTCATTGAAGTTGACATGACTTGCAGTATATTATATGTGTGTTCTCACTTTCAAACTATCTGAGCTATTCTGTGCTAACAAGCCCTGGATTAAGTTGTTTCGTTTGTGGTTATGCTGTATGATAACACCTTGACTCTTCCAGAGTAAGTATTACCCTTCTGTGCATTTTATACTTCTGCAGCTAACACACTACAGAGAGGCATGTTCATTAACCATTGTGCCAGCAATAAAGAGATGTTTATTATATTATAGCTCTTCCTGTTCTGGTCTAAGCAGTGTTCAAGAGGCTCTGTGTTATTCTTCATTACTAGGTGGCCAGTAGTATTTGAAGGTGCACTCTCTCTTGTTTGTATGTTATATCTTCTGTCTCCTTAAATTTGTGGATAATTTGACAAACAAATTGTCTTTCTACTGCTGTTCAGACTATTTGGATTTAGCCAGCCCTGAAATTGTAAGTAACAACTTAAGTTATATGATATGGAATATTTGCCTTATTAATCCTTAATGATAGCTGTTAGTAAACATACTATAACAATAGGCTAGTATCCAGAAATTTACATTACAGCTTTCAGCTGTAAAATAGAGATATACTTTAAGGGGTGCATTGCTATTTCTTATTCCTCTGCAAGGTAGCCCATTTTCTAATAAATAAAGTTGAACCAGTATATCGAATGTTTTATTGATAATTGTCATCCTTCTACGCACAATCACACTATGGCAACGAAACCGAACAGTCATTTGGGTGCTCCTTATAATAACTACAGTGAGCAGCTAAAAGCTATTTCATAGATTAATCTTAACCCTGTTATTAGGCAACAGATATAGCACTGTGTGTTATACTTATACGGTTTAGTATAACTGTTGATTGTACGTTCCTATTAGCTCCAAATTCTCAACAAACAATTTCCATCATTCACTGTTTCTCCCCAGATGCGACCGACCCGTTGTCTGCAGCATTTCTTGGATGCGAGAGCGGACTTGTTCGCTCTAATACGAACGACATTACGTTGCAAACTACAGTACCCTGCTATACAGCAATCATTGTATTTGACATAGTAACTTTCGGTTTGACGTTGTACAGGCCATTTCGAACTGGTGAACTACAGTTTCTGATGTACAAAGATACTACCTGAGACTAACTGTGCTATTCCAAGTCCGGAAGACACATCTTGTTACGATCCTTATCCGCAATGGGTTCTTCTATTACAGTATCATGCTTGGTGAGTCTCAGGTATCTTCTGTCTTGTGTAGGTATTCATTCTTTTCACCACCTATATAGCAATTTCCATTGCAGCAGTCGTAGTCAACTCAGCTCTACCATACGAGCGAGGCTCCCTAGTATCCATATTTCCAGCCATAACCAAAGCATGCTTTTGTATTATTGGTAGTAGAATGTCACTCAACCTTCGTGAGGCAGCAAAACAGACAGAAGACGGTTGTAGCAGTGGGAGCCTTTGATATCTCCGAGCTTTGCAGGATTATTTCTTTAAAAACAATTCCATTTATCTTCCTTTCAAGGTTGCTGGGACCATTATTTAATTTTGGCTTTGTATCTTATGTATAGCCTGAATTATAAAGCTTATTATCGAGCCGTTGTTGGCTTGAAAGCAATACTCAAATCACTTGGAATGGTAATAAAGTTGTTTGGATCATTAAAGAAATGTCCGAACGTTTCATATGAGAGGATCAAGGATTTCAATGTCCTGAATGCGTTAGAACCAGTATCTGTCCCTTCGAAAACTTTAGTCCGAGATCGAGCTACATCAATAATAGTTGGAAAACAAGCAGGTACGTCGTGCAGCTCTAGTGTCTCAAGTTTCTGACAGAGTGGAATAGCATCAGCATTTCCACCGAGTTCACCGCCAACAGGACCCGCATACAGTTGCTGTATCAATTCATCCGTGACAGCTTCTCCTTCCAGAGCAAGATACTTTACGCGACTTGCTCGTTGTAGCACGTTTGATAGTTGATCAGGATGTTCAGGCGTGTCGATCAAGTGTAATTCATGCAATGGTGGATCTTCAGATCTTTCAAGGAGGCCAACAATATTCTGCCATGAATTGTCTGGACCTAACAACGATGTCCTGTATCGAATAAAATGAAGTGATTGCAAGTTTGGAGTTATCATGCAATCGAGGAGCGGACCCGGATCCGACTCGCCATAAGAACAGGTAAGCGAGAAATGGGATAGCCGTTCTAATCGGATTTGCAAAGTGCTTAGAGGTTCATGACGTCGCAATGAAGCATACAGTTCGATGGATAGCCTTTCGAGATTCGGACAAGCTGCTAGCCAGGCAATAGCATCTAGAAGAGACTGAACAAAATGTAGGTCCAGAGTGGTGAGATTAGGGAGAAGTGGCAAGGAAGGATCAAAGAACACCATTGGCGATAGGATTCGCACAGTGCGTAAACGATTGCATGACGTAAGCCTCATCGTATACTCTCGCCCATGAAATCCAGTATACTTCGTTGACAGACTTAAGTATTCGAGTAACGGAGTGCCTTGAGGTAGTGCACGAAAGAGAGGGGCAAGAGCGTCCAGAACGAGTGCATTGACGATTAGATGTCGCCACCTGTGGCGTACAGCTACAAGCCGCCTTGCGATTTTATGCATGCTTGCCACGTACGCCTTGCTCTGTGCCCGGCTTAGCGAGCTCTTCTCCTGGCGTGCTGATCCGGGTGCATCATAGTTCATGGCGAAGGATAACGGGTACTTGATGCCAGACCGTGAGATGAAGAGATCAAGGATCCACGCATCACATGCTGGGCTTGATCCATGAGACCCGAGTGAAATTGAGGTCCATAGTCTAGGGGTTGTAATAGCAAGTCGACGCCAGGATGAGCAAACCCAGGATAGGACGAGTGGTGCAGCTGTCTGACTGTGAGAAGGCAACCTGTAATCATTGATGCTGGTATCTAGGGTGTGCTCAAATATATGTAGCAGTAGCTCTGGTGGAAGTTGGCAAGCCAGGCGCGTCGAGTTATCCGAATCGACTCCTCCTAGAGCTGTTATGGATGGTGGCTGTTGAGTCATACTGCTTGGCTGAATGAGCGGATGGGTATGCTTGCCCCAATTTCTAAAGCTGGAAGTAGTTTGCATCGCCTAGTATGGTACGGTATGGCCTGTGTCCTTCGTGTTGCGAAAGCAATCCTATGACATTATTTTGTCTGGCATCCACTGAGAGAATGGTACTTGGCTGACGTGTTCGTCGACTTTGCTTTCTGGGACCGAAGGACATCGTCGCATATACCTAGAAGGTAACCAGAATAGAAATTAGGATATCTACAATCGGATGTTAAAGATGGAGAAGAGAAGTAAAAATAAATATGGACCAACATGAGCAAAACCGAAGGTGGGACTCGAACCCACAGCCTTAGCCTCTTACTCAAAGTAGGAAAGCTACGCGCTGCCATTGCGCTACTCCGGCCTAGAAATTCTCGTAAATTGTACTATTTTTGTAGCTTAAAAGCCAATATTTACCCGGAGTTCTACCGGGATCCGGAGCTTGCCCGACGCTGGGTGACTCGAACACAGCCCGACTGCTTTGTCACCGACTCCCATCTTCCCATACGCTCTTCCCGTCGACACTCTATCGCATAGCACAAAGAGCGCACTCCTCATTCAGTATACGTATTCAGTCAATCATGGTATCGAACGTGTTTCCTTTGACCAATGGCAAGACGACCGCACGGTCCGACACCGGCGATGCACACCTCTCGTCAGCGGATGTGATTAGTTTGGAACATGAGTATGGCGCCCACAAGTGAGTACTACCTCCGTCTAGCGAACTCTGTTGTAGCCTTGCGGTGCTCTCGATCCTCACAGTATTGCCGTGGTGTATTTCTGTGCACAGAACCCACATCATCTGAGATTGATCGGAGCGTGCAACACGACATCGTCAAGCCAAATCCGTACCGTCGAGTCCTCCTCGTCATAGGATCATAGTCTTCGCTCGTGCCTTTTCCCGTGATTCTGCTTCGCGACTTTCGCTAACGGCTCGTTTTTATCCATGTAGTTACCATCCCCTGCCAGTGGTGTTTGAGTCTGCTAAAGGGGCTAAGTGAGTAACATAGGCTTCGGTTCTCGAAGAGAGTTCAAATTTTTGTCACAGAGTATGGGATCCCGAAGGCAATGAATATATTGACATGTTATCGGCATATTCGTATGTGGATTGAGTTGCTAGAATTATAATTAACATCTAAGCATTAATCCAAACTTCTAGTGCCGTGAATCAAGTACGATTTCTTGACCATACGTCATACAGTTGAATTGACTTTCCCCGTCTAGGGCCATTGCCACCCGAAGATTGTCAATACTCTCATAATGCAGGCACAGAAGCTCACACTTTCCTCCCGAGCATTTTACAACAGTGTATTCGGACGTTTCGCTCAAGTTATTACTGAGATGTTTGAGTATGACATGGTCCTGCCAATGAACACCGGTGCAGAAGCTGTTGAGACAGGCATTAAGCTCGCGAGAAAGTGGGCATACATGAAGAAGGGTGTCCAGCCAGGAAAGGCAATTGTCCTGAGTGCTGCAAACAATTTTCATGGGAGGACAATTGGTGTGATTAGGTACGTTATTGGCCTTTATGGCGTCCTTCGTCTTAGGCAACACATTGAGATATGGTACAGTATGAGCACAGATCCCGAGAGTCGACGTGGCTTCGGGCCTTATCTTGAGGGTGTCGGTCCGACTTACGTTGACGGAGGCGAAGTCAAATATATCCGTTTCGGAGTTATCTCGGACCTTGAACGTGCTCTCGAGCTTCATGGCGGGAATGTTGGTGCTTTTCTTGTCGAACCTATTCAAGGAGAAGCTGGGTAAGGCATTACCTTTTCCCACATGGTATGCATTATTGATGTAGCTATGAATAGCATTGTTGTCCCAGAAGATGGCTATCTTAAGAAATGCCACGAACTGTGCAAAAAGCACAATGTACTCCTGATTTGTGACGAAATCCAGACGGTAGGCAGGCTTCCTGTTATACCTTTTTTTTTTGAATACCTATCTAATTATTACGCATACTCAGGGCCTATGCCGCACAGGCAAGATGCTCTGCTGCGAATGGGACAACGTACGTCCAGATGTGATCCTTCTCGGAAAGGCTCTGTCTGGAGGCGGTTAGTTTTGTTCTTCCTCGTTTAGGTTAATATTTTTACCTTAATTTCAATCTTCCAGTGTACCCTGTCTCTGCTGTTCTTGCTGATAAGGATATCATGCTCTGCATTCAGCCAGGAGAACATGGAAGTACCTATGGAGGGTTCGTCTATCATTCCTACTTTACATACCTCGCACTGACGCACTTCCTCCCTAATTTCTTTCCTACTTATAGGAACCCTCTCGGATGCGCAGTGGCAATAACCGCCCTCTCCGTCCTCATCGAGGAGAACCTTGCTGAGCGTGCAAACATCCTCGGCGAGAAGTTCCGCTCCGCCGTTCGCGCTTTTAACCATCCTCTCGTCAAAGTTGTGCGTGGACGCGGACTGCTCAACGCCATCGTGATCGACGAGTCGCAGAGTACGCGTGGGAGGACTGCTTGGCAGTTTTGTCTGCTGTTGAAGAGTAGGGGTGTCCTTGCGAAACCTACGCATGTGAATATGTAGGTTGCTCCCTTGGGTTAAGGAGGAATGTAAGGCTGACTGAGATTCTTATTTCTTTCCTGAAAGAATTCGTTTTGCTCCGCCACTCGTCATTTCGGAGGCTGACCTGCAAAGAGCGGTCAATATCATTAAAGAATGTCTGTTTGATCTCGATAAGGTATATTAATTCTGCCACAAATTTTTTCAACGATAATTGATTGAGTTTCTATTCAGCTCGATGACATCCCTGGTGAAGTCGACTCTGAGAAAGGTCACGTTGACGAACTCACGAATTAGTCTGATCTCTATTCTGTCATGGTCGCTATCCCACGATTTCGGATAGTGCAGTTATGGTGATACAGTGATTAATCGCGGATGTATGTACTCTAACGGGCTAGCAGGAAGGTGAAGGATCTTTGTCTCATTTTGTTTCGTAACTCGTTACGACGCCTACGACTGTCGAGCTATTGTCATCAGACAGATGTACGTCTTATACTGTTCGTTGCATTACTATATGCATGTATCGTTAGCGTACTCATATCCGCTTGAATATGAAGTTTTCTTGTTCACGTATGGAGGAAATAGGGATCAGTTTTATCGAAGCACTCTTCTGGGTAATTTCGACAAAACTAGATGTCAACTATTTTGAAGTCGCCACCGCCACCGCCACCGCCACCTCTTTTCCATCCAACTATTCAAGAGATAAAAATTGAAAAGAAAAGTGTAGCGAAGCCCGTATATTCCAACTTTAAGTCAAGTGAATTATTGACTAGGTTCTCCTGGTTTCCTGTACCTATGACGATGTTTTCCATTGTTTGAACCGGACTTAGAACTTGGAACATTCCCTTGTTTCGATTTCTCAGAGGGCTGCCTTCGTGCGAGATTTTGAATCCATGAGCAACTTGGTCTTGACTTACTATGCTGATGTCCATCCCGTTTCTTTTTACTGGATTCGGGATTTACAGATCTATCATGGCCTTTACTTTTTGATTCTTCCTTAGCTGACGGATCTGATCCATATGCTTGTTTTTGGTTCTCCACTTTCTCTGGCGTGACCGATGCCTTCTTCGACTCTGTGGTTTGAACTCCTTCCTGGAACCACTTAGATGAGTATTAGTTGAAACGTATTCATGTTAACTGAGATAATACGCTTACCTTATGTTGCAATGCCTCTTCCGCCGAGCATCTTTTCTCTAGATCAACCTCGAGGCATCTCCGAAGGAAATCTTCCGCTGCATCACATCACACTCCAATTATGCTGCCTCTCTCCGAGAAAATTGTATTACTCACCCACCTCAGGTATATGGCTCGGAAGATTTTTTATCATGTACTCAACTTGCTCACTTGTCATTTCGCCTGCAACTTCTTTCAAGATGTGATACTGAATTTTGTAAAGCTTCACTATCTTGTCGTAAAAGTTGTTTCCAGTTAAGAATTCGCATACAACACTCCTAAAATAAACCAACAAGTCAATGGCCATTGGCCAACAAGTTCCACGAAGAAGTGAATAAAATGTGGTTCTAACCCTGCCGACCATATATCTGCCTTGGTTGTATGTTTATCTTCATTCCATACTTCCGGAGCCATGTACTGACGCGGTCCATCAGTGAACTCTAGTGACTTGTCTTCGGGAAGTTTACGTGCACTAAATAAGTAAACGCATGAATAACTTCCTTACACTTTGGGTTGGTAGCTCACATCCCAAAATCGCATATCACAACTATTTCCTTCTCTGTAACGTTGTCCCCCCTTGTACTTGTAGGGTGACCTGGGATTCGAGATTTAATTAGCAAGTTTGCTGGCCTCCAGAACACCATATTAGACATTCCAATAATACACATAAAAACATGGAACCCACTTTATATCGCAATGCACAACGTTCTTCGAGTGAATATATGCCAATCCTTTGAGGAGCTGCCTAAGTATCACCAATTAGATGATATGAAATCAGGCCCATTGCGTCAACAGCCATAACTGTACCTTATGTAGCTTTTAGTTTCCTGAGGAGAAAAGCACTTATCGGCTCTCTTTTTCAAATGTATGCGTAAATCCCCGAGGTCGGCGACCTCGCATATAATTACACATTGACGGTCATTTATAAAGGCCCCAAAACTCTCGAGCTCCCAGAAGGAGAGTATTTGTCGGTGAAGAGTGTCAGATAACAGTGATGAAATAAATGGCTTACCACATGCGGATGTCGGAGTTCCATCATGAGCTGAGCTTCGTATCTAGCTTTCTCGATGACTTTTTTGTTCTCGGATCCGTCCCGATCATTGTAGTCTCGTGGTCTACATATTAATTTTGCTGCGAACCTTGCTGGCTTGCCATTCTTCTGCTCAATATCAAGACGCTCTATCTCCTGTAGAATAGTCATCAGGAAAAAGTTGCATTTCTTATAATGTATTGTAGACTTTGTAAAACATAATGTAAGTATTGTATATACATTGTAATAAAATTATAAGGATCTTACAGTTATTTGCAATGTATATACAATACTTATATTACTTTTACAAAGTCTACAATGCATTATAATGAATCTGACTTTTTCCTGATGGTTGAGTCCAGTTGGCTAGTTAGGTCATATGAAGAGTTGCAAGTAAACCAGCACCAAGAAGACCACGAGAACCTTCTGTATGTACAAAGGATGAACTTGGAAACATACCCATATTTTTCCATAACTGCCTTCACCAAGTTCTTTCACCTTCTGAAAGCATTTTATAGACTTTGACCATTAAGGGCTTAGCTGAGGCACATGTATTACATCTAGTTCTAGAGGTTCAAGATCATACAGACACTCCATTCTGGTGGCTCATTGATTGATACTGAGGTTTAGTGCTGCCACACAGGTAAATAGCCAACATTTGATACAATGCTCTATTCTACTAGAATGATCAGTAAAGTTGATTACAATGATGTAGAACACATTTGGAAAATCCAGATACAATATTAAGTGTATACTAAACAATGATCAAATGGATTTCCTAAGCATTTATACTAGGCTAGACAGACTCTTGCTCTCTATACAAGCCTGGATGTTAGATTTACATGTTAATAGTCCTTTGAAATAATGTCAATATTTGCTCCAGTTGTGTATTACACTCAAGCAATAGCACAAAATGCTGCTCTCTCCAAGTTTACTTGAAGCACTTTGCATTATTTTGAAAAGCTCCTAGTTCCCCATTTGCTGATTACATAAACCTCTATTTTATTATGCTTTATCACAAATACCATAATTATCAAACTACTAGTAAGTATACTAACAGTCTCTCTTAAAACAGGTGTAGAATGTAAATCTGAAGATTCTAGTATATAAAAGAAGAGAAACTAAGTAATAATCAGTTGGATTGCCTAGAAGACATGTTAGGCAGCTAGACAGACTCTCTTCTTTCTATCTGAGCCAATAGATTTGGATTTAAAGATTAGTGGATCTAGAAATAATATCAATATTTGCTTCAGTTATATAATATGTATAGAAAATAGTACAAAGTGCTACTTTCTTCAAGGCTACTTGAAATACTTTGCACCATTCTTAAACATAATAAGGTTGTCATTTTCTGATTATATAACTCTTTATCTTATTATAATTATTACAACTACTAGAATCACCAAACTACTAGTAAGCTTGATTAACAAACTTTGTTCTAGAAACATGTATTTGTACTGTTCATTACAATGCTTTATACAAAGATTATTAATTTGTTTGTGTAAGCAATCATATAAATATATAATACAGAAAATAAAGTAAAACTGTGGAGATATTAGGATAGATTTTTACAGTAATAGTAATATTAGTAGTAAATGTTAATAATTACAAGGACAACAATGACTAGTTTCTGTCTGTCTATTTGAAAGGCAAGAATGACAAGCAAGGCTTAGTGTAAGGAATTATGTATCCTCCAATTTATTGATCAGTTCTTCTGGTGTATTGTGTCTTCATCCATGTTTTTCCTTAGAAGACTGTTTCCATGCCAGGTTTGACATCCATGAACCATGTAATCTCGACTTACTATGCTGATACTCTATCAGGAAAATATCTCAAACTTTGTATTAGCTTATATGTATATAAATTATATATATTTTCTACATTATGTATAAGAGCTTATTGTGTACCTAGGGGTTTTAGGAAGGTAATAAGAAGCTAAGAAAGCTATTAAAAAGTCTTGACTATCTGGTCAAGAATAATAAGAATTGTAGTACTTACTAAGATATACAAGTGCTTAAAGTGCACCTCACAAAATGGCTAAGTATTATAATACTTGTTATTTTAACAAGGAAAACATATAAATATAAGATGTATAAGATAAGTTTGTCCTTATATCCATTTGTTATTGAAATAACAGTTTATAATTATATTGAAATATTGTATAAATACATTATTATCTACAACAATTAGGGAAATAATCTGACGACAGATGGCGAGTGTATTGACAATAGAGAACGAATGTGTTCCTCAGCCGTTTGAGGTAGTCTTTGTCACCATGCCTTGGTCGCCACTCGGTCCCTGCAAGTTGTGTTGTGTGTGGATTGTGAGATTGTACGGATTGCAGAGGTCGAGGTTGCACTTGTGAGGCAGGTTTGGAGGTTGACTTGCTAAGGAGGCAATGGGTTGTTAGCGAGTGCGGGTGCTTGAAGTAAAGAGATGGATGCACCGCGACGGCGTGTAGCAAGTGTGAGTGGTGCACCGGGGTTGAGATCCGGAGCGTTGAACGAACTGATTTGAGCAGCTAGCGAAGCCGTGTCTGTAAGTGCACGTTGCATGCTCTGGCTACGTCTCGCAATCGGAGGTGCGGTAAACTGAGCCGTTGCGGATGACTACAAAGGTGTATCTCTGGGACGTTCTGGCTCGAAGGGCGAGGGTGAAGTGGAAGATGTGGACGGATTCAACTCATCTCGGGTGGGATGAGTGGTGGGCCACTGTATCCAGTCGATATGGTGTCATGGACGGCAACGAGGAATGTAAATACAAGTGGGGTGGACCTGTCAAGGGTGATGTCAAGCATGGAATGAATGGAGAAGTAGAACACGTACAGCATTGGAGAGAGGGTAGTACCATAGGGATGGTCGTACAAGGACATTGTTGCAAGCTTGTGCTCGTCGATTATTGCTTGCACTGCAGAGTGGGAAGAAGTACGTGGATACATGGAATTATTGAAGGAGTCGTTTGCTACTGGTCAACGATGCGGATGCGTGAATACGAATGCGAATGCAAAAAGGTAGACGAATGTAAAAAAAGGAGGATAACGAAGGAGAGGCAACGCAATCGGTGGAACGAGGAGCAGAAGGGATGGAAGGGGGACAAAAAGTTGGGAGGAGAGGGATGAGCAACTATTACACAGGTTATTATGAAGTGAACTGGTTGCTTACATTTTACGTTGTTGAGACTGGGAGGGTACGGTGCAATCAGCTGCGCAGAATCTGGGACTCAGCACAGGCATCACAGCAGTTGATTAGAGAGACGAGTGCAGCAATGTTTATTGTCAACGTTGTTGAAGGCGGGGTGGCAGCTAGTAGGACGCATGCAAGAGGAGAAAGACTAGAGACTTAGAGAGAACAAAAGCGACGACATGGTGGCACGGCAGAGAGTTAGACTTAGAGAGGTGGTGGAGGTTGAAGAGAAAGAGTGGCACGCATAAGTGCGTCATTATATGCTCTCGATCTTCAGCCGTTGATTACATAAGCAAGTTAGGTATCAGTTGCCCAAGATAATCTAAGTATAATGTACATATTATATACTTATAGTATACTTTTATTAAGATAATAGGGATACAACAAGTGCTCTTACACTATTATATACATTAATATACCTTTTGCATAAATTATAAGATAACAATAGTTATTATTACATTATTATATTATAAATATAACTCTTTTTTAAGATTATAATTTAAATGTAATACAAGTATAATACTTTAGGTTATCATACAAAGTTAGTATAATACATGTAATAGATTTTATTCATCCTTAGTACTTATGTAGTCTTTATATACATTAATATGTCTTATTTAAACATTACAATTCATTTACAAACCTTACAATTACTTTACAATGTATATACAATACACATGTTACTTTATAAAGTCTATAAGAAATTACAAGAAATGTGACATTTTCCTGATGACTCTTCCTGTACCCTTTTACTACCTATTGAAATAATTGATCTTTTATGAGCATTACTGTTTGATTCCTTCATAGGCGACAAATCCGATCCACGTGCTCCTTTTTTGTTTACTTTGGAGTCAGGGGTTGTATCCTGTAACCACTTAAATGCAAAGGAGTTAAGGCTGCTTTGATTTGATTAGCACACTGCTCTTACCTCATGCTGCAGAGCTTGTTCTGCTGATAGTCTTTTCTCTGGATCAACATTGAGGCTTCTTCGAAGGAAATCTTTCACTGCATCATATTACACTTCAGTTTATACTGTTCTTCTTCGAAAATTTAGGTTCCTCACCAGTATCAGTCATATGGCTTGGGAGATTTGCTATCATGCGTTCTACTTTATTGTTTGTCATTGTGCCTTCAATGTTTTTATACGCGTGAAAACGGACATCAATGTTATAAAGCTCCACTATCTGCCAGTAGATGTTCCTTCCGGATAAAGATTCGCACACAATACTCCTAGCAAATGTTACTAGCTGACAAGTTTTACAAAAGTGAAAAACAAATCTGTACCCTGTGGACCACACATCTGCTTTGGTTGTGAACTTGTTTTCATTCTTTATTTCTGGAGAGATATATCCAGGTGTTCCTGGTGCCCAGTCTAGTTTCTTGCTTTCGTGTACCTTACGAGCACTAGACAATTATTCCTAATCACAACCTTTCAGCTAAAGATTAAGTAACTTACATCCCAAAGTCACCCAACACAAGAATTTCCTTCTCTACACCGTTATCCTTTCTCGTTTTTGCAGAGAGAACCTGCTCCTCAGACTTAAATAATAGGTTGCTCGGCCTCCAGAGGTCCATTTCACCATTTAACTACTGGCGTGGCTCACATAAATGGGAAACGGAACTCACGTTACATCGCAATGCACAACGTGTTTTGAGTGAATATATGCCAATACTTTGAGGAGTTGTCTAGCCAATATCAATTAAGCAAAGAGTGGTTGCGTTATTATGACTGTTCCGACTCTACCTGGTGTAGCCCTTAGTTTCTTCAACAGAAAAACATGCATTAGGTCTCTTCTTCCTACGTGTGTGTAAATCCCCATGTTGGGCGACCTCACACATGATTACACAGTTGTCATCATTCATAAACGCTGAGCTTCCAGACAGTGAGTACTTATCAGTAGCAGATACCAAACAACAATGATGAAACAGAATACCACATGCGGATGTCTGAGTTCCCTCATGAGTCTTGCCTCATAAATAACTTTATTGAGGAATTTTTCCTCTGCCAATCCAGTTTGATCGTAGTAAATTTCTAACGGTTTACTCAACACCTTTGCTGCGAACCTTGCCGATCTTCTATTCTTCAGCTTGATATCGGGACGTTTCACCTCCTGTAACAGTGTGTGTGTATTGAATGTTAGTAATTCAGACTATATGACGAGTAGCGAGTAGAAATGATTATGAGGAATCTTCTGCAGGCAGGAGGGATGAACTAGACAACGTACCCAAATCTCTCCATAACTGCCATCACCTAGTTCTTTCGTCTTTTTTAAGCACCCTATACAGCTGGACCATTCTGGACTTAACTGTGGTGCATCCGTTATGCCCAGGTCAAGAGGTACAAGATCTCGTAGGGTTTCTGCAACCATCCTGTTGTGATTTGGATTGTTAGTGAGTTCCGTTGCATAATATACACACTCAGATAGCTGTATTATATGGCTTTTGCTCTATATCACAGATATGAGTAGCAAAGTTAGTTGCAAAGATGTGAGACGCGTTCGGATAATGTCCATACAAGATTGTAGTGACCATTAAGCAACAATCAGTCGATTTGCCCTCTATCTCTCTATACAGATAGAAAAATCTCGATTTCACCGAGTGTAAGCACCTTGTATTAGAAAGAAGGAATTAATCATCTAGAGATAACGTCAAATTTCGCCAAACACATGTAGCACGCTCATACGAAGACATGAGATAGTCTCTCCTACAAATTTACTTTACACCACCACTACATAGAACAATGAGGTCACACTTTGCTACTTGTTGAGCTTGCTGTAGGCATATGGGCACGACTATAACCATTCCCATTAATATTTGGCAATACTGACCCATGCATGCTAATCTGATCCATCTCTTATCTGAACGCTAATGTAGGCTAGAGTCTACAAAACAGTTTCCCTACTGTGAAAAAACTGCACAGGCAAGGGGAGTATCATTTGTTACTATTCAGTACTGATTATAATTTGCACTTGCCTTGCAGATAACCTAGTTGCGCATCCACGGGATTTGTGTTGCTTGACGTTTGTATAATATTCTGGTTTTATTTAGTGGTGATTTTTATGATGTCCCGTGCAAAGGTTGAGAGATCTTAGATCATCTTAGTTAGAAATGCATGTAGCAAGTATACTTTCAAACATCTAATAACCTGTTCACTGGATGTTGCAGAATGCCACTGGCAGCATTGCATGCATAGACTTATATTGCTTGCTTTACAGTGTGCAACTGTTATTAAGGTGTTAAAATCCGCTTGATTCTTAGTATGAAATCCGTATCTACCTAAGAAAAAAAGAACTATAGCAGGGTGTCATTGCTGGGTCAATCGTTCGTCTATGTAGAAATAATGAAAGGTCATGAAATGGTAACAACCATCAACGTAAACTTTTATAATGCCATGAAATAGCGAGCTCTACGCATCGAGCAACTGCTTCGACACCAAAATCCTATTTGTCAACGCACTGACATTCGCCTCGGCAAGGATGACCTCCGGATCATATTCCACGCCGAACGCAGCTTGGATGGACTTAGCGATCCTTGCCGCCTGTTTTTCTGACCAGAAGCGGAAATCATCTGGATCACGGTGGTCTTCGGGTGACGCGGGTGGTGAGCCAGGAGGCTTTGAGGAAAGAGGAACGAGTGACGGGTCGGCGTCGAGGCACAGGGTTACAATGTGCATAAGGTACCATCGGATGGATTGGAAGTCGAGTGATGCAGGAGGGTCGACTGAGTAGTGTCAATTAATAAGCAAGCAGGGAAACCAAGGGAGACAACGGTGCGTACCATATATCTCAATCGGTCCATCCAAGCTCATAACGTTATACATCCCGTCGTGATGATATCTCACCTCATACGTGCCGACATGCCATGGAAGAGTTTCGCCCTTGAATATCACTTTCCCAGTTTCCGGCTCTGTTCCTGAGTGAACTTTGTCTTCCGGTCCGAGGTATATATCGCCCTCCCACTCATCGTCGTGAACAGGCACCCACATACCTAAAGACGAAGTCGTTGTTACTAAGCTAGATTTGTTGGCTCCGAGCTAGAAGAGTTAGTTAAATAATCAAGTCGACCAGAGTTTAAAATAGTAAATACGTACCCGGTACAACCCAATCCAGTCCTTCCGTGAATGAGTCGGAGGCGCTCGCCAGTCGACAATAATTGGTTCACCGAGATGGAAACGATACTTTCCACCCGACATATGCGATCCATTTGTAACGACGGAAATACTGTATTGAGTAGTGTCGAATGAAGAAATATCGCTTGCAATCCGACTAAATTGCAAACTTGTCAGTAACGGAGGACAATCAAGATTGCTACCACTACTAACGTAATGACGAGTTTTTCCCTGGATTGCTGAAGCAACACCTTCGTGTCTTGTAGGACTTCCGAGAGTTTCGGTTTTGCTAGAAGTCGCCTTAATCAATTTTAGCTTTTACAGTCTCACTGAAAGACGTACACTTGTTCAAGAATTCCTCCACTACCTCTTCGGTTTCCTTGAACACTTTGTCAAACGACCCTTTAACTTCTTTGGCGACCTTGCCGAGCTGAGGAACATGCTTCCCGGCCCGTGATTCAAGAATACGCGCATTCTTTGTCGCGACTTTCTTTATAACCTTCGTAAGCCCTGCGTCCTTACGGAGTGCGTCACCGTAAAGCTTCTTCATATGCGGGCTAAACAGCAATATATGATTTAAGAAAAGAATGATGCAACAAGGGTAACACTCACTTCTCCACAGTCCTCAGGAACCACCAATATGACAGGTTCGTGAAAATCGCGAGTGTCAACACTGATTTGCTTCCTGTTATTAGAGCAAGTCCGAAAAATGTCGATCCGCTCAGAATTTCCGGGTTATTCAGGAAACTAGAGAGAGAGAGGAATCAGTATGGCTCTAATTGAAGTCACTAATACGGCATACCGGAAGATGCCTGTATATTCAAGAGTTGTTGGGAAATTGTCGATAAAGAAGTCGCCGAAGAACCAGCCAAAGACACCAAGGACTTCATATGATTCCCTCGCTGCCCATACGTGCAACAATATGAGGAACTATAGTAAATTGTGAGTGAAAGTCAACACGGAATATCAATTGTTTTCCCTCACAATACCAAGGGTATGACGCAAGAGCTGATCACCGACGATCCATCCTTGAGGGAATTGGTAAGTTTTCCAAGCGAAACCGAAAAACGAGCCTATCAACCTGTTAAGAGTACCCGATATCCTAATAAATCCAATTACTTACTGTACGTCATCAGCATGCTCATATTATAAATCGATTTCCAGTTCGTAAAGGCTTCTTGTACGGCGCCCTCGCCACTTGCAAGCATACTATCCGGGTAGTAATAGTGTTTTAGGTAGTGTCGGACAAGGAATTTCGAGTTACTCTGCGCCTTTAGGAGTGAACCCAGGACGAAGGTGTGATATACACGCCAGAGCAATGCATGGGTGAAGTGCAGAGCAATCTGGCCTTGTGCGGAAAGGGGCGGCAAGAAGATCATAACGATAGCGTAAAACACGACGAGGCCAAGCATGAAGTCCGATGCCCTAGAAGGATACTGATCAAAAGGAAGAAAGTCGCGACCAAGGAAATTCACAAACCGAAGTGGGTCGAAGTTATGCAATAAGATTACGTCCTTCCGGAAGTACCTGTTTAACAAGTCGTGCTGTGATAATATGCGTGTCATAGGTGATCGAGATGACCGAGATGTGGAAATGCTGGGAAGAGATGTGGATGATCCTATGCGAGGTGTCCTAAGCTCAACGATATCCAGCTCTGTCTCTGTCTCCAGATCTGTTTCCGTAGCAGACTCGCCCTCGGTGACGGAGGGTGTCGAGTTATCTGTAGCAATAGAGACACTCCTGTTGTGAACAGGTGTAGACGGTCTTGTCGACTTCCGAGATAAACTGCTCTCGCATACAGGAGGAATACGAGAAGCAAGGAGTTTCTTTTGGCCGTAGGTACGTTCGATATCTAAATCGTTCATTTGAGAGATTTTCTCTGTGAACATTACGAGAAATACCTACGGGGATTTTCAAAAGAGACAAGAAAACCGAATTGCGCTGCATGGGCAGCAATACTGACAAAGAGCACAGGATAACTTCCAACGATGAGGGATAGCCCGTAGTACCCAGCATATCCTTGGACAGATTAGTAAAATATAATATACATTTCTTAGGGTGAATGACTTACCAACAGAATACATCGGATGGGGTGCAAGTTCGAAGACGCCGTCAAAGACAAGTGCACCACGTTGGAAGAAGCAATCTCCCCAATACCAGCCGTAGTCTTTAACGACATGGTGTGCTTCTGTCTTCACCCACAGATTGAACGTGATGAGTATGAGGCCGCCAAGCCATCTGTGATGTGGTGATTACAAACAACTAGGTAAAGAACCTCGGAACAACGGACCGGAAAACATGAACTGGCACAGGAAGACCCTCCGGAACACGAAAGCAGCAGAACGCGAATAGACAATAAGAAACGAAGTCACTACGGACGATAGTAAGTACAGAGCTAGTAAATTCGATCACAACGCCTACTTAAGAAGAATAATGTCGACGAGTTGTCTAAACAGCAACCACGTATTATATTCTAAGGGTAGTTCCTAGTTATAAATTAATCTCCACGTCTCTGAACAGTTAGACGTAAGAATTGACGTACATCGAAAGAATAGTCTTTTCCCATCTTGCCAGCGAGCTGTTTGCGAATCCAGTTTCTAATTCCCGGTTTACGGTTCTCATCGAGCCACCCGAGTTTTTGCATTTCCCGAACAATCCACCTCTTCTTGCTCTGCTTCGTAAGGACCCAACCCAGTCCTGCATCATAGGCTGTACGCCAAAAAGCGAAATACGCAAGAAAGAAACGCTTTGCTACAGGTCGCGGCAGCACGAAAAACGCTACGATTTGCAGACCAAGGAGTGTAAGACTCAGAATGTCAAGATGTGATTTTGGATAACGAGGATGAAAAAGTGTTAAGACATCATGGGTCGTTGGCACTCTAAAAACTAAGGAAGTACACTGATCAGCCGCAAGGAATTGATATAAGATTGCCACGAGTAACTCGCCTTCACCACTTGGTGTTTTCCCCCAGACTACCTCTTCCTTTGCCTTCGACGTTTTTGCATCTTGAATCTTGACCGAAGCATTTTCGCCCTTTGAACCAGATAGCCTTCGCCGTCGTAGCTCGCCTTCCAAGACGGCGGACATTGCGGCAGTGATCAAGACGAAAGAGCGGACTCAGCGGACCAAAATGCCTGCCTGCAATAAAGCGCGTGGCACGCCATTTTATGAGGTTTAGCACTAAATTCCCACGGCGTCTATAAGCCATAGCGTAAGTAAATCTGTTGATTGTTTGTCCCCATGTCAATGCGCTTGGTGTGGTCCATCGTCTTCGAGCTTTCCACAGTCCAGTTAGCACCGTACTGATGAGTGCAAGACGAAGAAGTCTCATATGAACGAAGAAGATGTCGTGAGTCCGGTTTGAATATGTATAGCATCCGGCGCCGAGCGCCAGCGACCATCAACGGCCCGCTTTCTAATCTCGTCCATGCACAGTGATTTCCAACAGTCCGATAGCCTCGAAGAAATGTACGCGCGAGATATTTAGCTGCTGTTCATGTCCACTGATAGCACGTCAGAGAAATGGCTAGAAGGAGGCAGCACTCAAGGGGTAATCTTGAGGACACAGATTCCACCGAAAGACTCGCATTACTCTCACCAGACAACTTAGGCAGGACCGGTGCTGATGACGCCAGTCAATTCGATGAAAGTGCTCCTTTGAATGCTGATGCCACTTTGGGGCATGCAGAAAGAACATACAAACGTCGCGGAAGGTATGTTGAATTAAGTTTGTCTAAATGACACCTGTTTAACAGCATGCCACAAAGGATAGCTTGTTTCGTAAATTTCGCACGAACTCGCACCTTACTATGCGTCATACTTTCTGCTTTACTGGCATTCATTATTCTTTTTTCTGCTGGTGGAACAGCTGTCTATGTCACTGCTCCAAAAGATGGCCTATCTCCGCCTTGGTACCCAGCTCGTGAGTCAAACGATTCTCATAGCTTCGTTACCTAAGTTAGAAATTCTGTAGCTCCTGGAGGAACTCTTTCGTCGTGGAGAGGTGCCTATGAAAAGGCAACACGCCTGGTTAGCCAAATGTCTCTCCTAGAGAAGGTGAACATCACAACAGGGACCGGCTGGCAAATGGGTCTTTGTGTAGGAAATACGGGTAGGCTCTGGGCAAGTCATCAGGGTATATAACTATCCTAACGTCCTCATTCGCAGGTCCCGCAACCAATGTCAAGTTCCCTTCGCTATGTCTTCAGGACGGTCCTTTAGGCATTCGTTTCGCCGACCATAGCACGGCGTTTCCCGCTGGTGTTACTGTCGGAGCAACTTGGAATCGCGACTTGATGTAAAGGAAATTTGATCGCGCACTTTGGCAAAAGAATTGATTGTTTAATATCATTCTAGGTACCGACGCGGTCGCCTGCACGGGAGGGAAGCGCGTATGAAAGGTGTCAACATCATCCTAGGACCTTCAATGGGTCCATTAGGCAGAATACCTGGTGGTGGACGGAACTGGGAAGGCTTTGGAGCGGACCCAGTCCTTCAGGGTGTTGCAGCTTCACAGACGATTAAGGGAATTCAAGAAGAGGGCGTGATTGCAACTGGTCAGCTATCAAGACGTATTATCATTACTATTTCTACTCTACTAATATCATGCATTTGGCTAGCCAAGCACTACATCCTCAACGAGCAGGAGCATTTCCGACAGTCCTTCGAGTGGGGCTTACCAAATGCCTTATCCGTCAACATTGACGATCGTACGCTGCACGAGATATATCTGTGGCCATTCGCTGAAAGTGTCCGTGCTGGAGTCGGATCGGTCATGTGCAGCTATCAGATGGTTAACAACTCGTAAGCTGTGACCCTGTCAAATCTTCTGTTCATAAATGAAGTGTAATTCTTCTTGGATGCTAGCTATGCGTGCCAAAATAGCAAGATTATAAATGGTATCCTCAAGGACGAACTCGGCTTTCAAGGTTTCATGCAGTCAGACTGGCTCGCACAACGAAGTGGAGTAGCCAGTGCACTTGCTGGGCTGTACGATGACTCCTTTTATTCTTAAATTAATATTATCTTGACCAACTCAATCTAGAGACATGTCAATGCCAGGTGATGGACTGCGTTGGGCAAATGGAAAGTCACTTTGGGGAACTGAGCTCACCAAAGCGGTACTAAATGGCTCTCTACCAATGTCTCGTCTAAATGACATGGCTATTCGCATCGTCGCAGCGTATTACCAACTCGGCCAGGACGATCCATCGCGCTTTCCAGAGGAAGGTCCGAATTTTTCCTCGTGGACGGACGAAGAGGTTGGATTTCTGTATCACGGAACTGGAGAAGGAGAACGTGGCGTTGTGAATAAATACGTTGACGTACAAGGCGAAGGTGACGATGCGCATGGAAAACTCGTAAGGCAGATCGGAGCGGAGGCGGTAACATTATTGAAGAACGAAGATGGCATTCTGCCTCTAAGAAGAGACGGCTCAGGTCTGTCAGCTGATGGTCAGACAGTGAGGGTAGCTATTATTGGAGAGGATGCCGGAGAAGGGAAAGGTCCGAATGCATGCGAGGACAGAGGGTGTAACCAGGGAACGTATGTATTTCTTGGAAACAATGCTTATCCAATAACTGACGGGTTCTTCAAAGACTTGCAGTCGGCTGGGGCTCTGGTGCCACTGAGTTTCAATACCTTGTGACACCTGATACTGCTCTTCGCAAAGCTTTCGACACTGAGCACATCATCGTATCATCTTTCCTTACAAACGCTAATCCTCCCTCCGGCGCCATAGAAGACCAAGACCTCTGTCTTGCCTTCGTAAACGCAGACTCTGGAGAAGGCTTCATCGCCCATGATGGGATATCAGGAGATAGACCAGATCTTTACCCACAGAAAGGTGGCGATAAGCTTGTTCAGAACGTCGCACGTAGATGCGGATCCGGGAAAGGAAAGACCGTCGTTATCGTACACTCGGTTGGGCCGGTAGTCGTTGAGAGATGGGTTGACATGCCTGGTGTAAAGGGATTGTTATTTGCCCATTTACCTGGACAGGAAAGCGGGAACTCGTTGGTCAGTATTATTACAAAATTACTCGGAATCTCTTGTCTGAAAATCTGTCGTGTTAGATTGACGTCATATTTGGCGACATAGACGCCAGCGGTAGGCTTCCCTATACTGTAGGCAAGAGCCTTAAAGATTACGGCAAGGCCGGTCAAATTTTAACTATTCCGAACGGTGTCATACCACAACAAGACTTTGACGAGGGACTTTATATCGATTATAGACATTTTGATAAGGTGTGTGAAATAGTCTACACCCTTACGCGTGGTTGTGTCTAATATCTACGTCTTCAGTACGCAATCACTCCCCGCTATGAGTTCGGTTTCGGGCTCTCTTATACAACGTTCACATATTCCAACCTTAACGTCACGCCGACTAAATCGAAATCTCCCTTCCCATCCGCTCGCCCGCAAGGATTATCTCCTCCCAGGTTGGACGAGACCATCCCTCCAGCATCCGACGCAGTCTATCCTCCCGGATTCCGTAAACTCAAGAAGTTCATCTATCCGTATATCGATCGAGTGTCCGATATTAAGACTGGAAAATACCCTTATCCGGCCGGATATGATATCGTTCAGGAGCCCTCCCAGGCAGGCGGAGGCGAAGGTGGTAATCCGAGTCTTTGGGATATACACGCCGAGGTCGAGTTTACTCTAACTAATACTGGCCAACGTCGAGGAAAAGAAGTTGTTCAGTTATATGTTTCCTTCCCAAGTAATATTCACGTCGGCGACATCGATGGAACGGCTCGACCTGGACTTTATAACGACTTCCCAGTGAGAGTACTTCGAGGTTTCGAAAAAATTGAGCTTGCACCAGGAGAAAGCAAGCAAGTCAAGTTCGAGGTTACAAGGAAGGATCTAAGCTATTGGTCTGTGGAGCATCAGAATTGGGTTATGCCAACGAGAGGGACATTCGAACTAAGTGTTGGAAGTAGTTCGCGGAATATGCCTCTGACTGGCTTGTTGTAACACCCAATGTTTTGATTCCCCGGTTGATTCTATCATGTAGAGATATGTAGTACAATAAAGCATTAAGAAGCAAGTCAATTCAAGCTGTATTTACCGAGATTTTGTCACGTTCACAATACAAGCCAAACTAGTGTAAATAAAACCAAACCATCACTCATACACACGAGGCAAAATCAACTTTTGAAAGTACTCAGAATGTTTATCAGAATGTGATAAAGTTGCTCTGATTGGCTACTTTCACATTCTGACTAAAATTCTGGTCTATACAGAACATGATTCTGCCTCGCGTGTGCTAGGGTAAGGCGTGTGTGTTCCCACGGTAGATGCTGTGATGGCAGCACTGTCAATCATGTTGAGAGTTTCCTTATAGTTTTGTAAATGTATCTCCTCCCTCTATAAACTAGTAAAAATTTAATAACAATCATTTTTAAGTTTTGACTAAGTAAATCTTGAAGGCTGTGTGAGGAATTTTCTTATATTTAAGTATTTAGTAAGATATAGCTCTTTTACTACTATTTCACTAATGGAAATGCCTGTATCTCAATAAATAAAAATTTTAAAGGAAATTCCTCACATGAAAATGTTGAGTAGAATGGTATTAACATAATGGAGAAAAAAGAATAATATATACTTGAGTGTGGAATTTCAAGTTGATTTTAGAAAGATTTTTATTCCTGATTGAACCTGTGTATGTGCTCAGCCAAATTTATTCAGACACCAGTTGGTTCACAAATGCTACAATGAGAAACCAACTTGTTAACTTTATTTACTAATTAATAGAGTATCTGCAACTTAACTCATCTTAAAATTTGTATATTATGAGTATATAGTATTATATTATAAACTACCAACTTATTTTACTAAGTCTGATTCAAATTGAATGTTGCAGGAAATTCAAAAGCTCAACTAAAAGTTTTGACACACACATTTATAGTATCTACTATGTATGGTGTGAATCTAAGCTCTGATTTAAAAAAAGTTGTATGTGTCTTACTTTAGACTTACAGTATTTCTTGAAAATAATGACAGTAATCTAAGTTATATTGTTTTTTTGCCTCTTGCCCTATATAGCAGGTTCACCATATATAGTACAGTTACACTTAATGTGTTACAACTCTAGGGATGTCTTTTTACACTGTAAAAATTGTCTGAAGAAAGTTAATATTTGACACATTGTGTTTTACATCTTATTTACTAGTATAGTACAATGTATCTAGTATATAAGAGTATACATATATGTACATCTAACTGTTAGCAACAGTGTAGAGGGGACCCAGAGGCTCAGTGAGGGGACCCAAGCTACAACTATTCTACACAACAGAAATAACAGAATGTAAGTACTAGAATATAGTTAGAACTTACAGAACAGAGAGAGAGAGAGAGTAAGACAAGTATAGAGTATATAGAGTAAGTCTAAGAGTACAGGACTACCTAGAGTAGACAAGATCAAGACTACAGGACTAGTCTGATCTTGTACAGGTATATATACTAAACTATACAAGAGTACTCAAGGAATAATAAGTTATAAAGAATAAAGAATAAAAAGGTCAAAGATAAGTGAGTAAAGAATGAAGGGGTAGACAAAGGGTAAGAGACCTTAGAATGAACAAAGAATGAAGGGGTGGACAAAGGAAAGGAGTGACAAGGTAGAAAGGAGTAGTAATAGGAGCTATTGTGAGAATCATTCTATATATAGTTTATATACAGTGTATCTAAGAGACAGAAGTTCTGAGTTCTAGGACAGAAGGCTACAGAACTGACAGAACTGAGAGTACAAGAGTAGCAGATTGTAACACTAACTAAGTACTATTCCAAACTCCCTGTTCTAACAGGTTATGAGTCTTACATGCTTGTGAATAGTACTATTAACACAAACAATACTATGAATACAATCTCTACCTTAAATGTCTACCCCCCCTCCTAGTACTAGTACTCTACCTACAAACACAATACCTCTAACAATAGTACAATCTACATTAACATTCAAGTCTCTAAAGATTAATGACAACCAACTTACTATGTTCTTTAAAGACACAGAGAAGCTTACAAGTATAAAGAACTATAAGATATAGTAACTACACATTACAAATGTACTAACAGTAATACTGCTCAGTAACCATCTTACAAACAATCCCCCTAGTACAGATGTAGACAGTATACACACAGGGAAACTATTGTATCATTTCATAACAAAGATAATATTAGATACAGTGTATACTAACATTATAATACACAAAACAATAAAAGACCTTATACAGGCACTAGCTAATTAATACAATACACAAACCATGTTGACTCACACAGTCAATGTATTAGTACTGTTTACAGCTAGAGGACATGTTTTACAGTTTGACAAGATGCTAGACCAAATAGAACAAGTTTATACACAACTGGTAGCTTATAGTAAAGTACTAAACAATAATACTTATGTTTTAGTAATAAATCTTACTACTCTAAGAGAGTACAAGTGGGTTGTAATAATGATTAATAGACAGAACATGTATTATAATAGCCTACCTACAGTTACTGTGGCTCAGTGTTAGGTGTTCACACTAGCAAAATTAATTCATGAATTACACAATACATTTACTGAGTAGTAAATACAGAACTACTAGAATAAACATAGTATACTAAATAATAATAATAAAATAACAAATAATCATCCTCTATCCCTAGAGCTTACATAAGGTCAAACAAGAGGACAAGGATATAGTGGAGGCAATGTAAAGCCTTATATAAGCCTGTCTGACAGTTTACAACAGTTTCTGTACAGTTCTGTAATATAAAACTGTAGATCCTGTATACAGATTCTTGAGTAGCTTACTAAGTCACACACTTTTTCCACATACTTGTATCAAGTCCCCCTTTCATTATAACCACCTTTCCTACATTCCTAGATACATACTATCCCCTTTTGTCTTCCCCTTTAAGTATACATTATATTCCCCTTTTTTTGTTCCCCTTTTATTTTCCCCTTTAAGTATGAACTATTTCCTTAGTATATATAGTTAGTATTCTTTACCTTTGTTGTATTAGTTTGTATTTCTAACTGTAACAAAGGTGAGTCCTTTGTTAGTACATGTATCAGTTTGTATTTCTAACTATAACAAAGATACCTTTGTCCTATCAGCCTTTGTATGTTGTTACAAACTCAGAACTTGTTTGTAACAGTGTTCAGTACTTCCTTAATACTGTTCTACTTTTGTTTTAACATTGACAAAGCAGTCTTTGTCTTACTACACATTAGTAAGGTTCCTCTAGCCTTCTTAAACATCTCCTACTGTTAGTAAGGTTCTCTAACCTTTCTGAACACTCCCTACTGTTAGTAAGGCTCTCTAGCCTTCCTAAACACACTACTACAGTTCTAAAGTGAGTTTAGCCCTCCTTCTAACTACATATAACTAGGTCTTGTTTTCCCTAATACTAGGTATCCTTAAAAGCTACTATAGTTACTCCTCTATTAACTAGAGAATCTGTATTCACTTTCTTAACACTACTACTATTTACAGCCACCCTAAGCTCAGACTTAGAGAGTGGCTTAGAGTTATCAGAAGTAGATAGTAATATAAGCAAGCCTACTCTAAGACACTAGAAAGCTACTATGTTCTGAACTATGTTTACTAAAGTCTAGTTAATCTGGGAGAATACTATAAAGCCTCTAATATTGACTCTAAGCAATCTAATACTGTATACTCTCTAGTTATAGATCTCTACATTCTATAAGTATGTGTTTGCTAAATCTGTTCTTACAACCTGTATAGTTGTAATTGTAATAGAATACCTACAGGACAGTAGACTGTACTAGTAGTACAAGTATGACTAGTCTAAGCTTGAGGGACTTATACTGGACACATTCTATCAGGAGCTTTAGTACAAGATACTCTCTATAGACTAGGTAGAGTAAACCTGGAACAAGCTACTTATAACATAGTAAAACAGTTGTAACTTTTGAGAATAGTAGTTACAAGTTACTAGAATAAATTTCAGTCTCCTAAAAGATTAGTACCTTGATTCTAACAAGCTTTACAAGCTTCTTAAAGTAAATCTACACTCTAATTTTTAGTTTAAACTCTACCTTACTTTTACAAGACTAGTTCTGACTTATACTAAACAGATTGTAATGTATACAGAAAGGGTGTACATAGTAGTACTAGTAAATAGTCAAATTCCCAATCCTGTAGACTACCTTCTGACTCTAGAGCCAATCCTAGGAAGAGAAGTAACAGACTGTATAAGACTCTACAGATAGCTAGAGTATGTATACAAGCTAGTAGAATAGTTAAAAGTAGATTGTACAAAGGTCTATAATAGTGTAGAGACTATCTTAGCTGTAGAACAGGCTCAGAAGAAGGACTAGGAGAAGCTATACACTAGGAAGTTTACCCTAGTAACAGCCAACTCAAAGGTTACCTTAGGAAGTACTATAAGGTATATTACCTTGTCTTATACAGAGTACTAACTCCTAATAAAGAACTAGGAATGTTTCTAGTACTGTAAACTGTTTGTAAATCATAAGAGTAACAATTGTCTAACAGGTCTGCTAAAACCTAAAGACACAGTTCCTATTACAGAAGTGTATATTAAGTCCCTTTGTCTAAAGCAAAAGTCTGTCATACTTGTATAAACTAAGTAATCTGTAGTATTAGAACTTGTAAGTAGAAACAAATCTGAGTACATTCTGATTTCTGACTCTTTACTATTCTCTAACTACTGTATTCTTGTAGAAGACAGTTCTACTCTAATCTATATCTAACCTATGATTGACTCTGACTGTTCTACAGTTCTAATTAATGAGAAACTAGTGTTCTAGATAGGTCTTAAGTACTTTCTACTCAAAAGACACATTATTATAACACTAGCTATCAAATTAGTAGAAGAGTCAGGAAAATGGATTATAGAGTAAGTAAAGCTGTAAGTACAGTTGGTAGATTAGAAATGGACATTAAAGGTTGTAAAAGCTTGTGTAGTTAATAACTTGTATAATGAAATGATTCTTAGTACACCTTTCCTTTAGAAGAACTAGATTGTTATTAATATAGAAGACTAGACAGTTATTCTGAAGGATTCTGAATGTAATCTGATGAAGGCAGAAAAGATAGAATCAGTCTACATTCTACAACCTATACATATCCTCTCAGAACTAGTACTATCCCTAACTGTAACTGTTTAGGAGTATATTGAGACACTAGCTAGGTCAGAGTAACATGAGACCTTAGATAGAGAGCTAAAGTAACAATACTAAGATTGCTTCCTAGACTCTATACCAACTGTTATAGAACTTCTAGAAGGGATTATACACAATATACAGTTTAAGGACCTGTCAAAGGTAGTAGCTGTAAAGTCTTACACATGCTTACAGAAATACTAGAAGACCTAGTACACACTCCTAGATTAGTATATTTAAGCTAGTTGTTTGTAAAGGTTAGAAAGCATATACACATTACCTGTGTTCCTAATCCTAAAGGCAGATCTAGAAGACCTTCTGTGTATAGTATACAACTACTAGGTGTTAAATAGTAACACAATCTGTGACTGGACCCTACTACCTTACATTGACAAAATCATGAATAATACTATTAGGGAACACATATATACAAAGATTGACATAACTAATGTGTTTTTCCAAACCTGTATAAATCCAGAACATATTCTGCTCACTACAATTAGTACTCTGTTCAGACTATATGAGTAAACAGTCATACTAATAGGATTATGTAACACACTAGCTACACAATAGTAGAGAGTTATAAGAGTCTTAGAACATCTTATTAGAAGGATCTGTCATGTCTACTTGGATAATATTATTATCTAGTTAGAGTCTGAGGCAGAACACATTAGAAACATTAGAAAGGTTATGTAAGTACTCTGTAATAAGAGTCTTGTCTGTTTATAGAAGAAAACTAAGTTATTCTATACAGAGGTTAAGTTTCTCAGGCATCTAATTACAGAAAAGAGTACAGAAGCAGACTCAGACAAGGTCAAGCACATTCTAGAATGGTTACAGCTTTAAAGAGCCTAGGACATTTGTAGGTTTCTTGGACTTTTATAGTATATTATAGTATACCTTCTACACCTTACAGAACATACTATAGTTCTTTCCCTACTCACAAGTAAGGATTGTAATAAGGTGTTTCTAGAGTAGAAGCTAGAACACTAATACACTTTCAACACAATCAAGTCTATTGTCACCAGCTGTGAGTGCCTCACTTCTGTAGACTACAATTCAGGAGAGTAGATCTATATAACTACAGATGTAAGTAATTCTAGGACTAGAGTAGTCCTTAGTGTTGGATCCTTATAGAAAACAGTAAAACCTGTAGTATTTGAGTCTAAGTAATACAATAGTACAGAATGTAATTACCTAGTACACAAGTATGAACTCCTTGTAATTGTTTGTACACTTAAGAAATAGTACATTTACCTCCTAAGAGTACATTTCCATGTCTATACAGATTACTGTACTCTTAAATACTTAGATACACAGTATAATCTGTTCTAGAGACAAGCCTAGTAGATAGAGGACCTTTCCTAGTATGACTACAAGCTGTATTACCATCACGAAAAAGTCTTAAGTATTATACTTGCTTGTAATCTTGTATATTTTATAAATTTTATAAAATTTGTCCAATTACTTATAATCTTCCTGGGGGGTTAAGCAAGGAAAGTACAATGTTAAATAAGCAAGAAAAAATACTTTTAAAACTTGGCAATTTCTGATATAATTTTATAAATTGTCAAGTTATACAAGTGATTATAATATACTTCCTAAATTACAAGGTTAAGACATACTTATTAATTTGTGACAGTGTAATATCTGCTTATAATGCTTACAAGTCATTACAAGTGTTTGAATAGCTTGCTTTTGCTTACTATACAATTTTATATCAAATAATTAATCGAATATAATTATATTTAAATTATAGAATACAAAAATAGTAAATAATACGCTATTTCTACAGTCC